CACATCCGCGCTCGCTGCCGCCCGTTGCCGCCCGCTGCCGCTGGCGGGGGCATGCCGAGCATTCGCCACGTTGTCGCACGTTGGTGCCCGTGGCCGCCTCGTTGCCGCGTCATTGCCGCCCCGTGGGCTGCGCGGGCATGCCGAGGATTCGCCACGTTGCCGCCCCGTTGTCGCCCATTCTCGCTTGTGTGGGGATGCCGCCCGCTGCCGCCAGTTGCCGCCTGCGTGGGTATGCCGAGGAGTCGCCGTTGCCGCCCGCTGCCGCCCGATGCCGCCCGCTGCCGCCCGTTGCCGCCTCGTTGCCGCGTCGTTGCTGCCTCGAGCAGTGTCTGGGTATGCCGACGGTTCTCCACGTTGCCGCCCGTTGCCGCCTCGTTGCCGATTTGTTGCCGTCTCGGGAACTGTGAATATGCCGAAGATCTGCCACGGTGCCGCCCGTTGCCGCCCGTTGTCGCCAATGTGGGTATGCCGAGGATTCGCCAAGTTGCCGTCCGTTGCCGCCCGACACGCACAAACAGACATCGCTTCACATGCACACAGGTCCGTGTGCACGTACCCAACACTCTTGCTCTGGCCGCCCGGCCTGTGACTATCTTACGGAAAGTGCAACAAGTCACCGTTTGGAAATCCACAATGTCAAACACATGGTCTTACTTGGGTTCTCGTGGCCGCCCCGTGCGTGGCCGCCCGTGGGCGTCTCGTGGGCGCCCCGTGCGCTGGGTGGGTTTGCTGAGGCGTCTGCCGCCCGTGGCCGCCTCGTCGGCGCCCCGAGGACGCGGCGCACAGCTTTCACCACAGCGCTTGCACCACATAGCTTGCACCACGCAGGTTGCACCACATAGCGTGCACCACATAGCTATGCCGCGCAGCTTGAACCGCACAGCTTGCACCGCACATCCAACATCGCACGTCTTACGGTTCCACCGTGGACTCTGCCAACCCCCGCTTGCCTGGGGTGAAAAGACATGTGAGATGATTGGTAGGCCCCGGTCCAACATCCCGTTTGAGGGAGGGGGGCCGTGGGGGTACGAGCTCCCAAACGCATCCCCCGGGGAGCCTCTCCAGAGCCTCAAGCCTGCCCAAGAGTGCCCTAACGAAACGCCAAAACAGTCCAAGAGAACGTCGAGACCCACCGCGATCTGAGCAGGCTTCGAGAAGGCCCACGACGCGCCCAAGACGACCAAAGAGTGCTCCCAGAGGACCGCCGAAGGCCCCAAGAAGCGAAAATCGTCACATCTCCTTGGGGAAACACGCATTTCCAGCATACTCGCCTGTTGCGTCTTCCCAAATGGCTCCCAAGATCGTCACTAGTTCGCCCCAAGCAGGCCCAAGAGGGTCCCAAGACGGTCCCAGGGGCCCCCGAGACGGCCCAAGAGGGCCGTCAAGAAAGACCTAATCTGGCCCCAGGGGCTTCCAAGACGGCACAAGAGAGCCCCAAGAAAGCCCTAAGAGACGCCGAAGAAGGGGAATCCGAACTGACACTTCGAGCCTTTCCCTCGAATATGGCCCCAAGAGCCCCCCAAAGGCCAATCTAGCCGCCCCCACGAAGCCCCAAACTCCAACATGCCTCCCAAAATGTTCTCGCCATGCCGAAACTTTCTTTGGGGGGTCGGCGGAATGGCGGAAGCCCCTTCGATAACTTTATTTGGGGCCACCCTGGCAGCCATCATCCCCTTTAGAGGGCGCAGGAGAAGCTCTCAGAGGGGCCCTGGCCTTTCCTGGAGGCGTCCCGGCAGTCTGCAGATGGCCGACCCTCCCCCTCGCCCCGTCCACCTCGCCGCGCCGCCAGAGACTCAGGAGGGCGGGAGGAGTGGCCGGCAACACCACGAGAGGAACTCCCCGGGCAGCCCGAACGCTCTGCTTCGGGCGACGCCAGCCGACTCCCGCACCGATCCCGGCCAGGCTCCTCCCGGGCGTGGGACCCGCGGCCGCGCCTCCCGGACCACGCCGGGAGGGCGTAGGCGCCGCTCCCGGGGCCCAGGCGGGGCGTGCACGGGGCCGGTGAGGTGGTCCGCCGACGCCCCCCGACTGCAGCCGCCATACCTCAGCCACTCGTCGACGCGCAGCGTCAGCGACCACCAGAGGCGCCAGCCCATCACGGCGTACACCGCCAGGGCCGCCAGCAGCGGCGGCGAGGACGACGCGCTCTGCAGGACGAGCCACGTCGGGACCAGCAGGGCGGCGCCGGCCAACGCGCCCGTCACCATGGACCTGAGGGGCACGATCGGCCGGCACCGGATCGGCCCACCGGGTCGGAGCGGATCGGAACGCGCGTCGGATCGGGCCGCGTCGGCGGAATCGAGCCGGAACGGCCGCGCCAGGGTGCACGGCAAGGCCCAGATCGAGCCGTCGGAGCATCGGGAGCGGATCGGACCGGTCGGATCGAAATGGATCATGCAGACGGCCCTGAATGTGTCCGGGCGCCGTGTTGGTTCCTGGGTGCATGGCGCGTTTCCCGGGACATCTTGTCTGTAAGGGTCCGACGTGTGGCTCGTAAGATAGAACGGAGGTCCGTTGCTGGCCCTAAAGAAAAATGACTTGATGGTCTTCCGTTTGGTCTCCCGCAAGGTCTTCCGTATGGTCCAAAGGGGGCGGTTGCCAAATGCCGGCCCCGGAATCGGTGACTTGGTGGTCTCCCGAAGGGTCTCCAATGGCCTGTCGTATGGTCTCTGGTAAGGCCACTCCGCTTGGTCTTCCCGTATGGTATCCCGTATGGCCTCCGTCTCCCGCATGGTTTCCTGCATGGTTTCCCGTGGGCTGGCACATGGCTTCGCTTATGGTCTCCCCATTGGTTCCCGGTGAGGTCTTCCTTGTGGTCGCATGCATGGCATCCCGTATGGCCCCCCATTATAATATTATGTCCTGGTTTCCGCTTCCTTTATGGCCACATCTCTGGTCTGCCATATGAAGTAATCTCGATATCTCATGTTTTATAGCAGTCTCTCTTTGAACATCGGTTAACCGATCCCTATCCCCACTCGCGTGGCCTGGGCCCCACTGGCCGGTTTACCCCCCTGGACGGGGATATAGGCAGTGTCTGTCAGATTTAGAAGGGTATATCCCCAACTGGGGGGATGAGATGGTGGGGGATGGGGATGGGGATGGGGATGGCGATGGGGATGGGGATGGGGATCGGTTAAACGATACTGAGTTGTTTTGTTTCTCTCTCTCTCTCTCTGTCTCTGTCTTTTTCTCTCTCTCTCTCTCTCTCCCTCTCTCTCTATATAGATATAGAATGCCTTAAAGAGCTGTTTACCCTACTATGTCCCCAAACATGTAATGTTGTTTCGCGCTTGTCGTATACGCTCCGTTTCCGCCCATCGTGTCCAAAACTTCCCACCGTGTATCACGCACCCAAGGACGT